TCTTCTTATTATATATATATATATATATATATATATATATATATTATATTATATTTTAAAAAAATTTGTAACACTATATAAATATTAAAATTTTCGTTTAGGATGATTGAATGAACTCCGTAAGTATATGCTATCTCCGCCGAGTGCATGACGCATGGTTTAGTTATTACTTCTAAATTTTAAATTGAAGTAAATTTTTTTGGGTATTTTTTACCTAATATTTGTTATTCGTATTAAAATTTGACTATATTGAATTTATTTCGTGTAGAGTATATTTAGAAGAAATTCTCTTTATTTGAAAATTCATGCAGACTCAAATTGAAGACATCTAATTAATAGATGAGCAATTATATTCACAGTGTATTTATATCATATCCTTTGATGATAAATAAGTTTTTTTTTTACTATGCTATTTTGAATCTTTATTAGTTATAGTTTATGACTTACATTAAATTTTACATAAATTTCAAATATAAAAATTTTATTTCAAATTCAGATTTACGGTCATAGTGTATAAATACTAAGAATTCTGAAACATAAAAACAAAAAAAAAGGTGAATAAATTGAGTTCTATTTTGAAAAAAAAAATATAAAGTTACTATAGAAATTGTCTGAAATTTTTGAAACATTTTAACCTTGCAATTGTCTTATCCTTCACTAAAAATTTTTAAACAAATATTATTATATCATATTTTTTGATATTTCTTGTTTTCTTACGTGTGTAACTCACTCCAAATGCTAGTCAAATGTCTTTTCATTTTCTGTTATAATAATTTAATTGTAATTGTTTATATCGCGCTTTAAAAGTTCATTTGATTTTATATTTGAGATAAATTTATTAAGTCAAGTGATTTATATTGAAATAAAATTTCAATTTTAATTTTTAAAAAATGATTTATTATTTTTTTGGGGTCAAACAACCCCTAACTATAAATTAAATTCCACCATCCATTTACTCCGCAATTTAGACAAAAAGAAAAAATAGAAATGTTACGTTGGCCAACGAGGTCCCATTTTTTTTTATAAGTTTTTGTTTGGTTCATTCTAGATTTAACTTTCTTTTTTTTCTTTTGTAAATTATACTCGGATTATTCATTACAGAGTTTGTTTGAAAATTACTATTGTGCGATGAAAACAATTCTTCCATTTTTATGAATTCTTTTAGGCTTTTAGCATACATGAGAATGAAGACCATTTTGGTGTTTTACCCTTTGATGATTTATATTATATTATAATTAGATATAAGTCTGAAAATACCAAATATTTATAAAAAGAAAAACTAATTACGAGCTATCGAATTCCAAATAAAATAATACGTAATTAAAAAAATCACTAATATTTATACTATGACACAAGTACACGGCCAAAAGTTTTTGATGTATTAATTAACAACATTATTTTTTAATCAATAATCAATTGAGAAGTGATAGAATTTCACATATATTTTCATCATATTCTTTAATTAAAAAAAAAGAAAAATATATAAAAAAAATATTCTAACAAGTCAAATCCTAAGAATAATACGATTAAATATTTTTTTCAAAGCGCGAAACTAAGTTTGTTAATATTTATTATCTTCATGTTGAGAATTGTTTTTATGGTTATCCAAATAAAAAGTTTTATTCATATAAATAATAAATATATTTATACGTATACAATATTTCTCTCGCAGAATACAAACACATTTAATGAAATTGTCAACTTGATTACGTTGCATATTCTAATTTTTGTTCGTCTCATATCCAAAAGCTATATATATATATATATATATATATATATATATATATATATATATATATATATATATATA